CCCTGTCCTGTCATGCCTTTACCCTGAGTTCCTAATTTGGGCCTGGGTTGGGTGCAGCTGGGGCTGGTCTTTGGTGGGTGCTAGGCTGTAGACTGCCTTGTAGCCCCCTGGACACCCTCACATGGGTTTTTCTGTGTTGTTTCATAAGATTCTTTGAAGTCCAATAAAGCATGTAGGAGATTTTAACCTCTGCTGGCTGTGCCTCTCATTGTGTTCTCTGTGGCTTAACAAATGGGATGTAGGAGATTTTAACCCCTGCTGGCTATCATTATAGGATATTTGATTATTGCATCTAGAAAACCAAATTGGTAGCAAAATATAAAAGCCTAAAGTGTTTGTCAGATGCCCTGAAGAGATGCAGTTTGGGTGTGCCTCTAAAACCCTCCATAAATAAGAATGCTGAAGAATGGAAAGCTCCTGCCCATTTTAAGGTAATTTGCTTGGGAGAGATCTTGTGGTCTTTGCTATATGAGGTAAATATCAGCAGACTGGCCTCGAGCTACCCCACCATAAAGGTGAAATGGTCCAGCCCAGGCCTATTGACTGGGGTGGAGTTCAGCTGGCAAAGGGTATAGGGGAGGGACTAGAGTCTTACTTTATAAACAGTTCGGGCTTTGCTACATCTCTCCTTTTGGCTTGGAAGGAGCCTGGTAAGAGACAGAGATCCTCTCTTTGGGCTTGCAGGAACAGAGAAGCAGCTTGCAGGACACCGGGAGAACAGAATTCTGGGAAAGAGGCCAAGGAGCCCTCATGGGTGTGGAGGAGCTCAACGGAAAGGCAGACTAGATAGAAGGACACAGAGAAAATATCTAAAGAACTAGTAGTTTCCCCAGTACTCAGGGAGGCAGAGGCAGGCGGATCTCTGTGAGTGTGAGGCCAGCCTGGTCTACAAAGTGAGTCTAGTACAGCCAAGGCTACATAGGGAAACCCTGTCTCGAAAAACCAAACCAAACCAAAAAACCTGGTAGTTTAGTTGTAGAATCAGGCTGGTAGATATTTTGTATATAGTTCAGAAAATAAAGTTATCTCACTGATCTAACCAGTTTTTAACTTCCTGTGTCTATTTTGGTGTAAATAATAGATAATTTAAACAGTTACAGGCTATGTGTGACTCTTACTTTGTTCCCTGTGACTTAACAAACAGGGTGAACCGGTTAGTGAAATAGCTCAATGGGTTAGGGTCCTTGACATCAAATCTTAGAGACCCAAGTTTAATCCCTGGGACCCGCATGGTGGAAGGAGAGAACCAACTAATTCCCACACATGTACTGTGATGTGCATGCATGGGGAGGGATAAAAAAATACGTTTTCTTTCTTTCTTCCCTGCCCCTGAGACAAGGTTTCTTTATGTAGCCCTGGCTGTCCTGGAACTTGCTCTTTAGAACAGGCTAGCCTCAAACTCGGAGATCTCCCTGTCTTTGCCACCACAGTCAGCATGCACCACCACAGTCAGCCTAAATAAATTAGTAAGTGTTTTAAAGAACATAAAAGGGGCTGGGGTGTTGTGGCACATGCCTTTAATTCTAGCACTTGGGAGGCAGGGGCACGTGGATCTTTGAGTTCGAGGCCAGTCTGGTCTACAGAGCAAGTTCCAGGACAGCCAAGACTACACAGAGAAACCTTGTCTCAAAATGAAACAAAACAAAAAAACCAAGACAAAAACCTCATAAAATGGATAAAGAAACTATTCTTCATTTGCTAAGGGTTAATGAAACTCTAGAACACAAACCTAGAAGCTCTCTGGTTGAGAGATACCTAATAAAATATAGGATTCTTACATGAATTGAGTTTCAGGTGAAGACTTTACTATGATCATGTTTGGCATTCAGTTTTATTGAGTAAATTTGGCAGTCCTATTTTTTTAAGTTGTTTTTTTTTTTTTTTAAGATTGATTTATTTTATGTACATGAATGCTCTGTTTTCATGCACACCAGAAGAGGGCACCAGATCTCATTATAGGTGTTTGTGAGCCACCATGTGGGTGCTGAGAATTGAACTCAGGACCTCTGGAAGAGCAGCCAGTGCTCTTAGCCATCTCTCTACCTCCTGGTAGCCCTATTTTTTTTTCTTTCCTTTTTAAACTTTTTTTTTTTTTTTTGAAGTAGGATCTTATGTATGCCAGGCTGGCCTTGATCTTGCCATGCAGATGAGTCTGGGCTTGAACTCCTAATCCTCCTGCCTCTACCTCTCAAATCCTAGGAGATGTATGCCACTATACCCGTTTTGACAGTTCTATTTTTTTTTTTTTTAACCATCTTAAAAGAAAAAAGTACACATTGTTGCATGCCTGTGTGGTCCACAGCTTGTGTGTGGAAGGCATGAGGACAACTTGTAGGAATTAGTTCTTTCTACCATGTGGATCCTGGGGGCTGGACTCCAAATGCCAGGCTTGGTGGTAAATGCCTTACCAACATCTCTATAGCCCCATATTTCTTAGGTCCATAAACCTATCATTTTAGTTTCTCTGCATTTCTAAAGAAATTAGGAAATAGAAATTGGTAAAGGGAAATGAATTTATTCATAGTTTTGTCACTGGGGAGGAAAATAACTCAGTGCTTTTCTCTAGCATGCTAGTCGCCTTTACAGTTTATAGAAAACTATGAGATAAAGGCAAGAAGGTATACAGCTTTGTCTGTGAGACAGTTTAATGCCTTTTCTGGGGCTGGGAGGAGATCACTAGCTTTAGATAGCCTGCATTGTCTCAGTTCTCAGCAGTTCTGTTAGCATGGAGTAGCACAAGGGTCTCTTTAGAATTCTGAATATTCCTGAATTTTGCCAGGCCTCAGCATGTTCTCAAGTACAGAATCACTACTACATTGGGGGTCCTCTTTGTTAAGGAATAAAAAACCAGAGACCACTCAGCTTGACCTAAGTTCAAATCGAGAATCTCTAAGCTGACTGGAGAGAAACGCTTCTCATAGAGCAGCCTTGAATACATATTACAGGGAGTTTTTAAAGACAAAACAGACACAGATACACACACACACACACACACACACACACACACACACAGAGGGAGAGGGCGAAAGACAGAGAGAAAGAGAGAAGCTACATACTGGTTAGCAGTTGCAGGGGGAAGCAAACAGTTTAACAAGAGCAAAGAACATGGAGTTAGCCCAAACAATTTGACCCTGAGTTTCTAGAACAGGGTTAGGGGCTTTCCTAGGCATTTTTCTGGAGGGAGTAGAAACCAAAGATGGCTTCAGAGACAAAATGGAGAAACTTTTACCCTATTACACTCTTACGCTTTCCAAACAGTGCACCCCTTTCAAGCTTTCTTGTTTTTGTTTTTCTAGATAGGGTTTCTTTGTGTAGCCTTGGCTGTCCTGGACTCGCTTTGTAGACCAGGCTGGCCTCGAACTCACAGAGAGCTGCCTGTCTCTGCCTCCCAAGTGCTGGGATCAACGGCGGGTGGCACCACTGCCTGGCCTCAATTTTTTTTTTTTTTTCATTTACTTTATTCTTATAGAGTACATCAGCCGCAGTTCCCGTTCCTCCACTCTTCCCAGTCTCCTCCACCTGCCCTCTCTCCCATCCACTCCATTTCCCTTCAGAAAACAGCAGGCCTCCCAGGGACATCAACCGCAACACGACGTAACAAGATTCATTAAGACTAGGCACCAACCCTTATGTCGAAGGCTGTGCAGGGCAGACCCAATAGGAGGAAAAGGGTCCCAAGAGAGGTGAAAGAGTCAGAGATTCCCCCATTTCCACTGCTAGGAATCCCACAAGAACAGCAAGCTAACACACACACGCAGAGAAGCTAGCACAGACCCATGCAGGCTCCTTGATTGTTGCTTTAGTCTCTGTGAGCCCCTAGGAGCCCCGCTTCATTGATTCTGTGGGCCATGTTCTCCTGGTGTCCTCCACCCTGTGGCTCCTACAATTCTTTCTCTAAACTCCCAGGGGAAGGACCCTATGGAGACCTCTAATTTGCGTTCTCTCTGCGTGTCTCTCTGCCTAATGTTTGGCTGTGGGTCTCAAGCATCAGATTGGGCTAGGCACCCCATGCCTGCGGGGCGTAGGCTTTAGTGCAAACCAGAAGGAAATTCTGGGGTTCCCATAAAGTAAAACAGAAAACAAAACGTGTTCTGGATGGTTCCTTTTTGATGTTGTTATGAAAAACAAAACAAAACTTGTGGGCAGAGGTTTGCTCTCCCCACACCCAATATGGCGGCAAGAGAGCTCGGTTCCCGTTAGGCTCGCTTCTCAGCCGAGGCGGCTGCCCACACTCACTATGGCGGCCGCGGGTTTCTGCCCGGGCGTCGGGGGCGTCGGAGCGTCATTCGAATTCCGTCGCTCGGCGTTGTACGTCACGGGTGGCGGGAGCGGGAAGGAGTTCGTATTTTCTCCGCTCTCTGCCGGCGAGCGCCGTGCCGCCCGCCGCATCCCGCGCGCCCAGCAGCCCGGCCCGCCTCACGGCTCCCGTCGCTCTCCCGTCCGCGCTCGGCACCTCGGCTAGCGGCGGCGATGCACGTGGTCAAGCGAGGTGAGGCCCGTGGGGCGCGCGGAGCGCCCGCCCGGCCGCCCGGCCGCCCGGCCGCCCGCTTCCCGCCC